TTTCCTTGTTGCTCATGAAATTTTTCATTATCTTAAGCGTGCAAAAAATGGTCCTAACAAGGGAGCTGCGTTGAAATTGGACATGGAAAAAGCTTATGATAGGGTGGAATGGGATTTTTTATTGAATGTTTTGACTAGGATGGGCTTTTGTGATTCCTTTGTTAATATCATTCGTAAATGTATTTCCACTGTGTCTTTCCAAATCCGTATCAATGGTGTTTTGTCTGATGTTGTTGTTCCTCAGAGGGGTCTCCGACAAGGAGATCCTTTATCGCCCAATTTGTTTTTGTTCTGTGCTCAGGGCCTTTCCGCACTGCTGCTCAAGGCTCAAAGGCGGAACGAGATCAAGGGAATTAGAGCAAGTGTGAGAGGGCCGAGAGTTTCTCATCTTTTCTATGCGGATGATAGCCTTTTGTTCATGAAGAATTCGATGACGAAAGTCAGAAGAATTAAGGGTATCCTGGACCAATATGAGAAAGCTTCCGGACAAAAGGTGAATTATGAGAAGTCTAGTATCTACTTTAGCCCTAATACTCCGTCTGAGGATAGGGGATCCTTTCTGAGAGAGCTTGGTGTTGTTGAAGCCTCGGAGCCGGGAAGTTATCTTGGTCTCTCGTTGGTTGTGGGGAAAGGTAAAAGGGCGGCGTTTAATTTTATTAAAGACAGAACGGAAAAAAGGATCCAGGGGTGGACGAAGAGATTGCTGTCTTTTGGAGGGCGGGAGGTCTTTATCAAGTCCGTGGTGCAGGCTTTTCCTGCGTATGCTATGTCTTGCTACTTGATTTCGGATGGGGTTCTGAAGGACATAAAATCACAAGCTAGATCATTTTGGTGGTCGGGTAAACAGAATTCTAGAGGATGGGCTATGGTGGCATGGGATAGAATTTGCAAGGCTAAGAAATTTGAAGGGTTGGGGTTTAGGGATCTTCATATGTTTAATGTGGCGTTACTAGGGAACCAGATTTGGAGATTTATTCAAGATGAGAATTCGTTGGCTTTTAAGGTGATTAAAGCTAAATACTTCCCGAATTCCTCATTTTTTGAGGCTAGGATGGGGACTAATTTTTCATATGCTTGGGCTAGTCTCATGAAGGCTAAAGAGGAACTTAAGGATGGGTTTTTTTGGAGAGTGGGTATTGATAGTGGAATCAGGATGTTTGAGGAGAATTGGGGTGATGATTGCGCTATTGAATGGGGAGAAAGATATGTGGATAATGCTGCGCGTCCGGTTCGGGTTGTGGATTTCATGGTTCCCGGGTGTGCCAGGTGGGATGAGGATAAGGTTGTTGGAGTGCTTCGGACGGCGGATGCAGATAAAGTTCTTAAGACACTAATTGCTCCTGTTAGAGGGGATCGGTTACTGTGGAATCATCATGGTTCAGGTTTCTATTCTGCTAAATCGGGTTACAATTGGTTGATGATTCGAAGTAGTCCGACCTTGGTGGTGGATGGCATTTGGAACAGAATTGCAAGAGCTCGGGTCCTCCCAAAGATTAGAATCTTTGGATGGCGTATTTGTCATGATGCCATCCCTGTGGGAGCTAAATTGGTTCAAGCGAATATAGGAAATGGGGTCTGCCCGATGTGTCTTTTAGAGCTGGAAACTGTTTTGCATGCCATTAAAGATTGTCCCAAAGTTAGGTCGGTCCTGGTGGTATCGGGACTTTCTCAGGTGATTGTTGAATGGATCGGATCCTCTCCTCTTTCTTGGTTGATCTTTGCTCATTCCAAATTGATTAATGAAGGGTTTGATCTTTTTCTTGCTCTACTTTGGAATATTTGGAATCGAAGAAATGACATGGTGCATAATGGGGAAATGCAAACTGACAGGAATGTTATTGTTAGTTCTTCGAATTTGATTGAGGAGTTCCGTAGAGTGAAGAAGGTGGATGCCATTGATAGGGATGAGGTTGGATTTAGTCGTTTTAGGGGATGGATTAAGCCGGGGCAGGATGAAATTAAAGTTAATGTGGATGGGGCCTTTTGCAAGGAGAATAGGAAGGCGGCTATTGGGGTTGTGGCGAGGGATTCCCATGGAATGGTGATTGCGGGTCTTGCAAAGAAGATTAATCCTCCGAGTTCGGCCGAGTCAGCTGAAGTTGCTGCTTTTACTGAGGGTATTAAGTTGGCGATTGAGAATGGGTGGAATAGAGTTATTATTGAAGGTGATGCTATTTCGATTGTCAATAGATTGGCCAACAAGAGAACGGGGAAGATTCAGGATTTATCTACGATTGGATTGCTGCTCAATGAAGCTAGGCTTTTATTGACGAGGGCTCCTACTATTAAAGTTCATTACGTTTGTAGGGAAGCTAACCGTGTTGCTCATACCCTTGCGCATTGGGCTTTATCGAACACCAATCCAATTTGGTTCTTTTTTGATGAACCTGAATGTATTAAGCAAGATGTAATTGATGATGCTATTGGAATATAATGATTTTTCACTTCAAAAAAAAAAGAATATAACGTCTTTTTGTTAGGTTATTTAATTATAGAAAAAAATATAAAATTATCATTCGTGTTAATGAAAATAATAAATTGACATTTTTTCATTTAAAAATAACGGAAAATAACTCGTATAATAATTATAATTAAAATTATTATCAATTGTGTTATTTTTAAAAAAAATACATAATAAATTTTTAAGACAAAACTATCATAAATTAACCTTAACTTTCTCCGCCAGCAGAGTTATAGATTTAGATAGAATAGGGTCAACATGAGTATCATCTCATAAATGATATAAATATTAGTTTGATATTATTTTTTTTAATTTATATGTTGGATGATTATAATCAATATTTACACACGTGCACACTCATCATCCAATTCAATTTATATTCATATTTATACGTGTCTTCAATATGTAAACGTGTATTTCTTTTCCACACAATAAATTTAATATTCACCCTATCTTTTGATTAACTCAATATAATCTCTATCAAAATTATCAAAAGCTGCATACTCTTAACGAAGTTGTTGATAATTATCAACGATTTCTATAATATTTTTTTTTTAGTTTTATTCATACCAAATGATGTTTTTGATAAAAATATATTTACGTAAGAATGATTTTATTAAAAAATGGTTTAGTCTATACTCTAAATAGTTTTCGTAAAATATATTTTTTTACTTTTTTTTTAAATATAGTATTTTCCTAAATTAGCCGATAATTTTATTACCGAGTTTCCTTTTTCTTTTGGTGATAATTATTTCCTAGAAAAAATGGCAAGTATGCTGGACACCGTGGCACGCAAAAACAAGACAAGTGTCACACTTCTCGACCGTGGCGACGGTGAAAAGTAGGCAGGTTTTCAAAGAACGAAAGTCTGCCCGATGAGACAAGTGGATAACTCTATTCGTTAAACAGTATACTCAACTACAAGTTGATCTTAATTTTGAATTATTTTTTCTTATAAAAAGACCACATTATTATTATTTAATTATTTTATTAGTTTCAAATTTGAGTATAATAAGATAAAATCAAACAGTAATATTATTATTTTATTAAAAATTTCAACAAATTAATAAAATAATGTACTGAATATATTTTTTAAATATCACTTTAATTATTATTCTATTGATATCCGGGAAGGCCATACAAGTTGAAAATGCCAATAAATAGGGACCACGTCACTTCATATATTTTATATATAGAACTTTCCGGAACAAAACATAGTCTTCCATAAGATAAAATAGGTTATAATATTACCATTTTTTTTGGATAAAATAAGTTATTCTTTAAAATATAAATATTTTTATCGTAAGATGAATGGTGTCAGACCTATAATAATAATAACGATTAAATTTATTCTTGATAAATTACGTGAAATTGTTATAGATTTAATTATGAGATACAATTTTCGAATAATGACCTCAAAAGATATTTGTAGAGATACAACAAACTCTCTCGGTTTCAAGATTTTTTATTGACTAATTCAGATTCTCATACGTCACACACTTAGTTTCGGTGGGTGAGTCTCCCAGCTGCGATTTTATGCATATACAAAGACTTAAACTCGAGACTTATCTTAAACGATTTCAAGTTACTTACTACTTGAATCAACTCCAATTAGTAAAACTAATGAGTAAAACTAAATACTTTGAAATTCTAAAAATACCAATTTTTTAAAATTATTATATTTATAAGAAAAAAATTATATTATTAAATAATAATAAAATGGACAAACGGCAATTCTAGGTTAAGCTACTTGTCAAAACAGCAGCATTTATATTTCTAAATACAAGACAGGTGTGGCAAAAATATTGATGCCAGACGTCTATTTTGTAAATATTTTTAAATATAAAATGACATGTGTCATTATAGTACTACACCACTTGTAAAATCAAACATTATTTTTTTCATAATTAGGGAAGAAAAATGAAAGATTATTAAGAAAAATAATCAACATTTATGATGAGCTTTAGAGTCAATTTATTAAGACGTGGTTGAAAAGGGGAAAATAGATGGTATTTTCGTTTTAATAAAAATAAAATAATTAACAGCAATTTAATATTTTGTTATTGTTTTATCGCATTTATGGTAATTCGATAAAAAAAAGAGTTCGAAAATTAAGAGAGAAAATGATTAAATTGATAAAACTGAGGGACCAAAAAATATTTTACCATAAATGAAATGGAACTTAACTCTACACGTTTACAAAGTACATGAATTACTTTGAAAGATTTGATGAGCTTTAGAGTCTTTTCATGAAATTATCCCTAAATAGTAAACAGATGCATAAGTATAACATCTAGATTTTGTGGGCCAATGGAAACTTCTACATATTTTGTTCGGCTTCTACTTAAGTCGTAGGTTTGCTAAGCTTTTAATAATTTGTTAGTATCTTTTAACAATTTTAATCGAATAAAAGAATTATTAAACAAGTTCAATAATCACATTCAATTCAAATATCGACGAGTTTTAATTGAATTTAATTTAAAGAGCTTGCAATATGTGGGTCTCGTTTACAGTCCTACTAACAATGATAATGAAGCTTGATAAGAGAGAGTGGAGACTAGAGAGGAACAGCTTTGTAGCTACGCTGCGGCACCTTCTTGAAGAGCGCCCAAGCCAGATCAAGATAAAGAGGAAACTGCGCTATGGCAAAGAGCGTCACAGGCAGGCAAGTAACCGCATACACCGGGAACGCAGCGTACTTCAACTTATCTTTCAAAATAAAGAAATGTCCCGCGCAGAACGAAACCAACACCGACGCTATCGATACGAACAGCGACGTCAACCCCAGCAAAAGCTTCCGGGGCAAATCTATGCCGAAATCCCTCTCTTGATACCGAGATGTTAGTATCGATAAGAACATCACCACGGCCGTCACGGAGAAGCAAAGAGTGATGAGGGATGAGATGGCGAAGACATCGAATGCCGGATGATTTTCCAAGGTCGGCGTTCCACTCTCCGAATTCACACCTCCTGGCACGGTGGTTGATGTGGCGAATGCCACGGTCGCGATCAATGCTGCCACGACGGAGCACGATTCGGAGGTGTTGGTTAGCCATTCGCCACCCTTGTCAACGAGGTGTTTGTGTGTCTCGGTGAATATGTCCCTTGGGGTCTTGTTGTCCTTATTGTAACGAGTGAAGAAGTGGGCGGGCATGGAATGCTTGACAAACTAAAGAATTTCATGGTGTCAAAATTATGATCAATTATGCTGGACGTACTTAAATTATAGCTCCAATTATAAACTAAATAAAATGTAAACATAGTCATACCTCATACCACTTGATTTCCCATTGCATTTGTAAAGCAGCGCCGGGGATGAGCCAAGGCCTGTGATCACCCAGCATTGCGGCAAGGTGCAGTGCACTATTTCCGTTATGATCCACCGCTCGGAAAACGCTGTCTTTCATGATGTTTTTGTTAAGCAAGAGCTCGTATACGTGAGGCTGCCGGTTCTCCACCGCAAGCAACACTATGTTCTTCTTCTCCGAGTTGGTTTCATGGATCGCCACCGGAAAACGTTGTAGGATTTCATCCACCATTTCCGTGATTCCGTTCTTCGCCGCAATCAATATCGTTGTCTCTCTTTTCGCGGCTTCTTTGGTTTTCTCCTTTTCACCTGCCAGTTGGTGAATTTTGCAATGTTACAAGAAAATTATGCGTTAAACATTCATGTATGTGCCACTAATGTTGTTATATTTTTCACCTTTTGAAATTTTTCCCTTAATTTTATCACGTTGTTTAGCTGGATGTGAATCATCACAACAGGCAAGCATTTTAACGTCTCCTACTTCTGTGATTTCATAAGGCTTTGTCTCGTCGGAATCGTATAACGATAGCTGGGGCCGACAGCCATTGTCTTCATACTGGTACATAGAAACATGTTGCAGAAGTTCATTCATGATCTGGACAGCCCAAGTATGCTTCTGTTTCTTCTCCCTTAACTTCCTAATTCTCTGTGATCCTTATGAATAAACAACATTAATGAATAATCAAAGAGATATTACGATTCGTGAGCGAGTAGAAAGAGATGAAAACCAGTCTAACTCGACCTACCTAATCCGAGTATAACCAAAATTGCTTTGGATAACAACTTGACGAAATCAATGAAGGTGACATAATTGGGAGGAACGAATTGATGTCCATCTCCTGCGAGTACAAAACAAGATTTCTTTCATTAGATGCCTGCAGGCTGCAGAGCTCGACAGAGTTAGGCTGTTTGTAGGGATAAACTTGTTATCGATTTATTCCTTTGTGATCTCGTGAAGAAATGTGCCGGATGATTTACGAGGTTGCTCGGAATAAACTTGTTATCGATTTATTCTTTTGTGATCGCGTGCTGAGATGTGCCGGATGATTTCCAAGGTTGCTCGGTGCTTTTGTGTCTCTTAATTCGAATTCATTCGCAAGTTTGCAGTTCCGATTCTCGGTCCTATTGTTTATTAGGTGTCGAAATTTGACATTTATGTTCTATTCCCTTAATTCTTCATGTATTGCAGGCAATGGATTGCTTACCTTTGGGTATGGTCTCGGAGGCGGCATTAGGAGCTTCAAGGTTTTCAACCACATCTCGTCTCTTGTTTGTGTTCTGTGAACTTTTTGTCACTGCAAAATGTAATAAAATTGTTCAATCGAACCATAAAAAAGAGTCCACGACGTTACATTAAGACCGTTTGTTATTTCCCGGGCAGCCAGCTTCTACCGGTTTAGTTAGCATACCTACTTGAACCAGCTGCTTTAGCAGGTGCAACAAGTGCATGCATGTTTGGTAATTGCCGGGATAACTATTTCTCATCGTCCTTTCCTTTGATCCCTTAGATTGGCCATAGCTTGCAGATAGTTGAAATGATGGTTCCACCTTAAGCGGTTCGACGATTATACCTTGGGAACAAAATTGATAATGTCGATCACTTGAATATGTGAATTTCTATGCTTTTGATGGTGAAAGTTGAGACTAATGAATAGCACTTACAATGATAGATAAGCTGGCTGAAACGACCGAGATGGCTACCGCTTCGGAAGGCGGTCGGGTTGCTAGCCAAGAGATGCAGGGCTGATATTCCCTTGTCGTTTACATAATTGACAAGATCTTGATAATGGTAAATGATTTGAAATGCCAAATCTGTGAAGCACATTAGAGTTAATACAAATATGCTAATATGTTTGAAAAAAAGGAGTTGTGGGAATTCATACCAAAATAGTCTCCAGATATGGCACAGTGAAGAACATTTTCACCGTCATTTCTTCTGCAATAAGAATACCCTTCTTCCTGGCTTCGACAGTAGGAGTTAAGGCAAAGAAAAGCGTCCTTCTTGCCGTGTAGAGCAGCCACGAACATGGGTGTTTCTCCTTGGAAGTTCTGAATCTGGAGCAAAAACGGCTCCACTCTCACAAGGCATATGCACATCCTTGCGTTCCCTAGCGAAGCCGCGACGTGCAGCGGGGTATTCCCCTGCTCGTTCCGGATTTCCAAGGCTTTCGGTGGTTCACCGTGGGCCGAAACCGAATCCACTAGCTGTTCTACTACGGCTTCTTGGACGTTGGAGACGGCTATGTGCAATGCGGTGTCGCCTGATCTTATGATCTTAGCCACATGGACCGAGGGATCCTTCTCGTATATGCTTATAACAGTGTTCCATTCACCTTTCATGGCACATTTGAACAATTCTTTTTCTTCACTAATGTTTCTAGACTCCATCTTTTGTTCTTCATAAGAGTGGAAGCTGAGCCTGAGGTAGACACAAAAGGTACATAAATACACCAAAAGTGGAAGAAAGGAACGTTTGAGGTCGTTCCGTTTCCAAGGAAGGAATCATTTTGAGACTCGAAGGAAACAGAAAAACAGTTTACACCTTTTCTTTATAGAGTAACTTTAATAATAAATAATAAATAATATAGGATAATTTTGATTGATTAATTTTAATAAAAAAGATAAATGACACGTTAAGTCTTTCAAATTTTATTTTTATTTAGTTTAATTCTTAAAAATTCATTTAAATTAAAATTAGCATATGTTTATTAGTCTAATATTATTTTTAACATTATTTATGATAATTTTATTTATTTTTAATTAATATATCAATTTTATTATTGAAAATGATATGTGTTATCATTTATCGGAGGAAAAAAAAAGTATGGAAACAAGAATGTTAACCAAGGAAATTTTGTTATTTATATTTAAGTTAAACTAAGATTGATGACATTAATTGATATTAATATATTCTTAAATTAATAGTAATATATTTTAAAATTATTTATATTATATTTTACTTAAAATTATATATTTGATATACCTAGATATGAATTCTTTCACCTTCAGTATAATTTTCCCTAAAAAAAATTGATGGCAATAATTAATTTAATTGCAAAGACTTGAGGTTTAAATGCTCATTTGTTTTATTAAAAATACGGAGTATTTTTCATCGTTTTGCTCCTTAAACTATTTTTTTAAATACTTTATTTCTTAGACTATCGAAAATTACTTTTATCGTCCTATCTTTTTAACAATGTTAAAAGATATTTTGATCAATCAGAACGTGTTATGTGACAATTTTAATCGACTGACTTTAACGAAAATGATAAATGACATATTGAAACTTTTATATTTTATTTTTATTTAATTTAGTCCTTAAAAAATTATTTAAACCAAAATTAAATCCTATTTAATTTTATATTTATTTTTATTTAATATATTGATTGCATCTAATAAAAATAAGATATGTGTCATCATCTATTATAGAAAAAATGAAAATAAGAATGCCATCCAAGGCAATTAAACTTGAGTCTCTTGTAAAAAGTAACCTAACACTCAACCACTATGATAAACCTTAAACTTGTTATTTTAGGATGAAAATTAATATTTAAATTAATTAAAATTAATATTAATAAATATCATTCCTTATGTTGTATTAAATATGTTCATGAATTTTTTTATCAAATTTATTTAACTGACTCATTATTACTTAAAGTTTATTATTGATAAAAATATGAAAAATGGTAGCTTAAAAATCTTAATTTAGATAGTTTTTAAATATATATTATATAAAATTTAATTGTTTAAAATATTTAAAATAATCATAATCAAAGTTTAAAAATTTTTACTTTTAAAATATCAAATATCAATAATGAACATATTTAATGGGACGAGAGAGTACTATATTATTGAATTAATAACATATTGCTAAACTAACATTAATATATTTTCAAAATTATATATTTGTAATATTTTTTACTGATATATTTGATATAATTAGATATAAATTATTTAACTTTAAATATAATTATTATAAAAAGTTGATGGCATTAATTAATTAATTTAATTGATTGGGTTAGATTTAATATAACAATTTATTGAGAATCAAGCACGCCACAATATCTCTCGCGTAGCACCAAAACCGCCGCTCTATATACATTTCATCAAATTTTCGCAACTGAAAAAAAAAACAAATCAATTCGTGAAATCCAGCACGAAATTTAGAAGAACTTCCCGTTCTCTTTACTATCGGATTTTGAATAATACTTTGAATTTTTATTTTTGGATGATGTATACTGAGACGGCGCAGAAAATTGATGTGGAGGCCGGGCGCAGGCATCTGTATCCGATGATGCAAGAGCCGCCGGCGATTAGGTGGGCTTTTATTCGGAAAGTTTATTCAATCCTATCCTTTCAATTGTTGGCTACAATAGCGGTTGCAGCCACCGTTGTTTTTGTTCATCCGATCGCTCGTTTTTTCGTCAGCACCGTCCCCGGCTTGGCTCTTTACATCGTCATATTGATCATGCCTTTAATTAGTGCGTTTCCGCTTACATTGTCCTTTTTTCGGTGTTCCTATTTTGTAACTATTTTAGTTGACTAAAATAGGAAAAAAATTATGTTTGCCGTTTCGCAGCCCTTTTTCCATTGTATTTTTTTCACCAGAAGCATCCATGGAATTATCTTCTGCTTGGAGTTTTCACCGTTTCTCTCGCCTTTTCTGTTGGATTGACGTGCGCTTTTACCAAAGGTACGCATATGAATATTTTCAATACTTGTAATTTTTCTTTTCCCCCATAATCTTAGCTGATTACACCCTTTATTAAGTCAGTTTAGCATTGCTTTAAATTTGTTTGGATTGCGAATTCTGCTGTAAACTGTTGCTTCTCTGACGTTAATGAAGAAACCTGTTGATAATTTTTTTTATGACATTATATTTTGACATATCATAACGATATTTAGGACATTTTATATTTATATACATTTAAAAGATATATAACGATCTCGATAATAAAATAATAAAAAATAATATTATTTTTAGAGGATTCAAATTTAAGTAATTACATCTATAGAGTGATTAAATTTTTTTCAATTATGAAAAAAAATTACGTACATTTGCCTTTTTTTTGTGCATATAGGGAAGGTTATTTTGGAGGCAGCGATTCTAACAGCAGTCGTAGTTGTGTCTCTAACCCTGTACACCTTCTGGGCTGCAAAGAGAGGCCATGATTTCAACTTCCTTGGCCCTTTCTTGTTTGGTGCTCTCCTTGTTCTTATAGTTTTTGCCTTGATCCAGGTATTTTACATGTTTCCCATTTTCATTCACCTATTTCATCTCCATAATATTTGGCTTCCCACTGCAGAAATTTTTTTTTTTTTTGCCACAGATTTTTTTCCCTCTGGGTAGGTTATCGGTGATGATCTACGGCGCCCTTGCCTCAATCGTGTTCTGCGGTTTCATCATCTACGACACCGACAACTTGATCAAACGCTACACCTACGACGAATACATTTGGGCTGCTATATCTCTGTATCTCGACGTGCTTAATCTCTTCCTATCGTTGCTTTCCCTTTTAAGAGCTGCTGACTGATGGTTAAATGGATATGAAAGTGCCTGTAAGAAAATTCTTGATGATCCTTTTAGGCCTTGATCCTTGCTGTTTTCTTCTTTTCCCTTCCTGTTAGATGGTTTAGGTCATAGTTGGAGGAATTTTAAAGGTTCTGTTTTGCTTGCATAACAATTCATTCATTCTTTGCTTTTCTTTGCTTCTTCCTTTATAAATGAAGATTTAATGGCGCAATATATAGGAGTCGTCATTAATTTTTCTTTTGCTCAAGTATGATTGGATCATCTAAAAGTATATAATTGCAAGGTTTAATGTTCTCACAATGCCTGTTAAGGAAATAATATTATTTAACCAGATATTATCCTTTAATTTAAAATAATAAATATAAAACTAATATTTAAAGATAGTTCTTAATATATCATTTAACCATATATCATACTTAGTATTTTAGAGCTTAGAGTTTATACTTAAAATAAATAAATTGTGTAAAAACTTTCATCAAAGTTCAAGGAGCGGTGACAAATTTTAACCAAAATTTTACATTAATTTATTATTTTGGCTAAGGGTTTTGTTAAAGGCTAAAATATGCTTTCGATACCTTCATTTGACTAAAACATGAGTTTTGGTTTTCGTATTTGAAAAGTTCAAAATTAAATCATTTTACGATTTAAAAATCTCAGTCCAGTTATTAGCATAACACACGCATACCAATTTTTGGAAGCAAGCTCCGTAAATATACCGATTTTTGGAAGGAAAACATTACTGGTTTATGGCATAATTAGATATTTGCCCAATGGTTTGCACTGAGCACCTAGAAGTACAAGCTAATGGAGCTTTAAGTGAAGACAAATAAGTGAATTAGTCCCAGCTTGCCGCTACCGCCACCGCCATCGCCATGATGCCATGTAGTTGAGCTTTGCCTATTATGATTTCTTTCAGCTGCGATGGAGACAAGCTTTGATACACCTTTGAGTCCACATATCGTATTCCCTTTGACTCCTGCATTTGAACTCAACGATTCCCCTTATTTCGGTCTTCAATCCGAAGTATCGACGCTGCTCTCCACCTTAGAATAGTGGTCTCTCCAGCCATGCCGGAACGTCCCTGCACACCTCCAGAACCACATCTGTAACGTACCCAAAAAACAGAAACACATTTATTTCCAAAGCAATCCACAATAATCTTTGTTACCCTATGATAACAGGGCTCATTAAACTTGACTCAACTAGGAAAAAAATAAAATTTTCGACTCAATTTGACACTAAAAAACTCGATTTAGCTCACATTTTTATAAATTCAACTAACTCAACTAGATTGAATGTTCACCCTATATTATATTACTACAACTTACTCTTTTTCTTCTTGGTAAAGGTCCCAGCCACATGCTTGCTTTTCATCTTCCAAATCACCTTCAGAAAGAAAAAGAAATTCAGTCTACATACATATACAGATGTGCTAAGAGGAATTAATAAGTACCTGGCCTGCCCTATTCGTATAAACAGAGACGACTTTCCAGTGAAGATCACCTGCTTTTCTATAAACATGTTGTAATCACCATTTTTACCTTGATTTAACTGGTTCTCTGCTCCAAATAGCACCTACCAGCAGCTTCACATTCCAGCAGCTTCCACTGACGATAGCTGATTTCTCGCTCCACACAGTAGTGTTGAAAATTGGCACACCAAATTGCATCAATTGTTAATATTATGGGTGGCAATTTGGTGGCATTAATGGGGTGGCAAAATTGGTCAAATTTGGCCACCAAATTGTTGAAAATTTTGGATGGTAAAACTATGCAATTAGTCATTGTAATTTAGGGTATTTACAAATTAGTCCTTAAAGCTTCAACTATAAATACCCTAGCTCATTTAGCTTCAAAACCATCCCAAAACATTCTAGCTTTCTTCCAATACTAGAGAGAATTTAGAGAGTTTCTTGAGAGTTGTTTTCTCCTTTTTTTTTATTAAGAGAGAATTATCATTGTTTTCTCCTTGGTAGATCGAGAGAGGTTGTAATTCCTATTTTCTCATAGTGAAATTCTTCTACCGTTGCCCGTGGTTTTTACCCTAAATTTTTAGGGGTTTTCTACGTAAATTTTGTGTCTCTTTTATCTTCATTTTTATTTTCTCAAATTATCAGTTGCGATTTTGCTCTATCTGATAGCCGTCTTCCGCAACAATTGGTATCCGAGCTAGATTAGAGTGTGTAATATCTGCTTATTGTCTTTGTGGTTGCCACCAAAAGGTGGATCCTCCAACATAAGAAAATAAGAAGTTATTACCCATTCTTTGGAGGTTCCAGAGAACTATTCACAATAGTGAAATAGTGGGAGCTATCCGTAAAAGAAGCTATGGCAACGAAATTTGATATTGAAAAATTCAATGGGAGAAATTTCTCATTGTGAAAATTGAAGATGAAGGCCATCCTGAGAAAAGACGGTTGTCTAGCAGCTATCAGTGAAAGGCCGGTGGATTTCACATATGACAACAAATGGATCGAAATGGACGGGAATGCTATGGAAAACTTTCATCTAGCATTAGCAGATGAAGTATTGTCAAGCATCGAGGAGAAGAAGACAGCTAAGGAGATATGGGATCATCTCACCAAATTATATGAGGCCACATCGCTGCACAATAAAATTTTCCTTAAGAGGAAATTGTACACTCTCCGGATGTCAGAATCTACTTCAGTGACGGAGCACTTAAACACGCTGAACACTTTATTTTCTCAACTTACATCCTTAAGCTGTAAAATAGGAGAACAAGAACGTGCTGAACTTCTACTTCAAAGTTTACCAGATTCGTATGATCAACTCATCATCAACTTGACAATTAATAATGTCACCAGTCTAGTCTTCGATGACGTTGCAGCTGCTGTTCTACAAGAAGAAAATCGACGCAAGAACAAGGAAGAAAGACAAGTAAATCTGCAATAAGCAGAAGCTTTGACAACGATGAGAGGGAGATCAACAGAACGTGGCCAAAGCAGCAGTCACAAACATGGTAGATCGAAGTCAAGAAGCAAAAAGAATTTAAAGTGCTACCACTGTGGAAATAAGGGTCACTTGAAGAAGAATTGTTGGAGTCTAAATAAAAACTCCAATCCACAAGGCAATACCGCAAACACTTCAGATGATGGAGATGCTCTATACTGTGAAGCGTCAACCACCGTGGAAGGTAGAAAACGATTTGCAGATATATGGCTCATTGATTCGGGAGCAACATATCACATGACCTCAAGAAGAGAATGGTTTCATCATTATGAACCTGTCTCAGGAGGATATGTGTATAGTTGCAATGATCATGCTTTAGAGATTATTAGTGTGGGAACCATCAAATTGAAGATGTATTGTAACATCCGCAATACCGAGTTAGTGACTAAATTGAAAAGTTTCAGAATTTGGTGATTAATTTAGGAAAAATTGAAAAGTTTAAGGATTTAAAGTGTAATATTTTGATAGTGGATTAAATGGTAATTATGGAAGAATTGAAAGGGTATTATGGTCTTTTTATGTAAAAGATATTTATCTCTTATTTAAAGAGAGAAGCTTATGGGTGAGGAAGTATCTGGAAAGCTTCATTCTTCTTCTTTCTTCTTCCTGTTGGTTTACTTCATAAGGGTGAGTTTAATTTCAGCTTTTTAATTCTTGAATTTATAAATTAGTTTTGATTCTTTGGGTATTAAATAAGCTTAAGGAAAGCTTATATGGGATTTAAACAATAAGATAAAGGAATTAAGAAGGAATTTGTAATATGAGTTTTAAGATAAAATTTTGATATGGTATGGTTGTTGAAGTTTTATGGATGAATTTGACTTGTTATCAATCTAATTAAGAAGTATGAAGTGTTAGAATTGGAATTAGAACACATTGAAAATTTAGTGTGATTCTTGAATGCCATGTAAATGATGGAATTTCGGGTTTAAAGAAGTGATTATGGAATAGAAATGAGTTTAAATATGTGTATGGAAGTTAGGAATATTGAAGGAAGTAAAATATGAAGGTTTAAGCTGAAATGAAGTGAATTTCGAGCTCAAAATATGATTTCTGGGCAAGGGGAATCGGTACCCATTCAATAGGAACCGATACCCCTTCAAACGAACAAAATTTCCAGAATGTCATGAGGGAATCGATACCCCCATAGTAGGGAACCGATTCCCACTAAAGGAAAATTGTAAATATTGGTTTAATAAGTTCGTTTAAGTTGCTAGTATCAAATTACAAGGTGTAGGTATCTAATAATTGTCTTAAAATGTATAATTATGTAGATTCAGAGCCTAAACGAGTTCCGGAATCATTGACAAGTAAGATCGATAAAAAGGGAAGATAAGAGATTGGAATGGACTAGTGAGGCCAGGTGAGTGCATACAAGTTAGTTTATGATGTTTAATGGAAATAAGACTTGCGACAAGTCTATTTCCTATATTAGAATGCATTAATTTATAATCATAGGCATATGTTTGATTTGGGTATGTGATATATATTACAATATGTGTTAAATGATTGTGTGAATAGATGTATTGTGATAAGTATAGGAATTAATATGAATGGTCTATATGATTGCATGGGAATGTGAAATAGGTTATATGATAGGTGACCATACATGTTAATAGTATACGTGATCAATTATAAGAATTAATGTAATAGATTTATATGACTACATGAGAAAGGTGATGAGTTAAATAAGATTAGACTATAGAGTAATATGAGAATAATATATTAGTGAAGGGAATTGAGTATAAATGATGATACCAAACCATAAGATAAGTATTTACTTATAGGATAATATGATATTATATGAATATAATATATAACTTTGTGAGGAAGAATTGGGTGTTATATAATTTAGGTATGAAAATGATCTATGCGTAAGTAAATTACGTGATTATGTGACTATGTGTGAAATAGAGTAAACTAGGTAAGTATAAGATATGTAAATATATGGCTATGGAACAAAGTAGGTAACAATATAATGTTATTTGATTTATGATTTTGATATGTGCATGGATACATGAAATGGATATAGGTTATTATATATGTTACATGATTATATGCA